TTTTTCTCGTATGTGTTTTATTATTATTAAACAAAAGAAAAGAAAAGAAAAAAATGTTATATTCCTATTTGTCCATTATATCTATCAAGCTTTAGTAATATTGGGAATAACATTTAAAATTAAAAAAAAATATTGAGCTGGGGACTGACCATGAAATGATGATATCTGGAGGGGCAGACTTAGACTTAGTATTGTTTAGTTGCTGTATGAAAACTTGAAATTGGGGGCAAGAAATTTTGCATGCCATTGAATGATCAAAGAAGATATTAGGGTGTGCTTATCTCCTGATCGGTGGATTATTTTGCAAAAACAGTCAGCATGTATCAACCATTTTTTCAAATAGTGCCCTTTGCTTGGCAACTAGGACTGAGCCTCAAATCTTATGTGGACAGGGCTCTTCTTCCGCTTATCTTTAATCATTGGCAGAGTTATTGCCTCTGAGAGAAGTAGGAAAGTAAGTGGGATGGATTGTGTAGTTTGGCCACTCTCAGGTTTATTTGTTTGAGTGTATAGTGAGATGTCCTTTTTTTGTTTCTGTTCTTATCTCCTCCCGCCCTCCACCACCCCAACCACCAAAGAGAAATGTGCCTTTTCTTTCTTCTATCTTTCTTTCTTTTTCTTTCTTTTTTTTTTGGATACATCACAATGGGGACATTGAAAAGAATTGTAAAGCTTTTGAGGTTTTAGAGAATCCTATTTTTTCTATGATGTCTGGTAGTCTAGCAACCTTTTATTTTTTGTTTTTCGATTTTATTGCACTGCTGTTCTATAATTTGTTTATATGTTAGATTTTAGAGCTTTACTTTTCAATTCTATTGTTTGTGCTCTCTTGTATCTTCCTGTGATGGATGCTCCTCCTTTTGTACTTTTGGACTTTCTAATAAGATTGGATATAACAAGAACATAAATTATACGTAATAAGAGTTGAAGTAAGAGTGTGGATCTTCACATTACAAAAGATTGCCTTCTGTGTGGATGATCATTTGATTGGTTCCTGGTTTCACCTTTTCTTCTTTTTTGCAATGTTTAAGCTAGTTTTCTAATGTTCCCTTATCTCTTTTTCTTTCCTTGACATGTTTCCCTTTCTACTTGTACATAGGTTGAGCTTCTCATTAGTTCTCATTGTTATTGGCATCTGGAAAAGAGAGAATGAATTTCTCTATGTAATGTAATAATGCAGTAGTAGTTGATTAACCATATCGCGGGTATCCGCTCATACTTTAATCATCTGACTGTTATCGTGTTGTCTGAAAATACTGTCCCCTCTTTTTCTTGTAGATGCATTATGTTGGCTTTGTTGACCCAGAAGACATGAACGTTGTTTCTGGGAAGAAAAATTTACAAGCTTATTGGGATACACAAGCAGCAAGCTAGCACAGGTGCGGTTAAATCAATATTTAATACTTTCACAAATTTGAATACCTGAAATTAGTGTTGCTTTACATTTTATTTCATGTATTTGGCATATCTGGCAACTTTATTGGGATGATCGGAGAAAATATCACAGCTTGTTTTCTGTTAAATGTCTGTACATAATTTACTAAATAATTCAGCTTATTTAATGATTACATGATAATGTTAAAGTCATTATTATTATATTGTACTTAGTCATTGAGTAATCATACTTTATTTTTGGTAGGAAACAAAGAGATTATTAATAACTTGAAGAATAAGCTGTCCACCAGTGTCCACCACAGAAAACAAGTCCATCTATTAGGAGGGTCTGTAGCTTACAAAGACAAAATATCTTGAAAGTCTTTTGAAACAAATAGTGCCAGATTCAGCTGAAAACCACTTGCCAATAGAATTGAATTAAGAGAAACCAAAAATCTTGAAAGTCTTGAAACAAAACCCATAGTGATGCTAAGAGCTTTTCTGTCTTATTAATACTGATTTATTCCCATCTACTGTCTTCAAATAACCTTTTATTTTTTCACCTCTAGCTGACCATGAATAGCTAGAATCAGAAACTCTAAGGGCTTAGGCCTTTTTTTCACATTCCAAAACAGCAATATTCACATGAGTCTGATTATTCGTTTATAGCATTTGAACAAAGATTTGTTTTGGACTCCCTACTTAAATAAATGTCAGTAACTGAAACTTGACGGCAGTGAATTTTGAATAATATTATATTTCTCCATGGGTGTGCACATGTTTTAGCAACTATTAGAACTTGTCCATTTAAGTTCTAGACGCTAAGTTGCTGTAATAGTTTGTATTTTGTTTATCTAGTTTATGCTCTCTGCTTTTCCATTTTTTTTTCTTGACATCTGCTGTAGTCTGATTATCATTAGGATGTAGAGTCCTGAATGGCTTTCCATCACCTAGAAAAACAACAAATTTCATATCTTGTATTACTTATTTTCTGCATTGTTTGGAAGGAATAGCCATCTGACAGACTTCAGTTGCTTCTCGATTATGTTTAGTAGTCTCCTTCAAAACGACTGCCTGCTGAATCTGCATAAATGTATTATGTGTGTCTCCTGGAATTGTCCACACGAATGTTGTAAGTCTCTTGTTGCCTTCCAGTTGCCTGTTGCCTTCTTATCTTGACAAAGTGGTGACATGAAAGCATGTTTCTCCACACGTATGTTCCTCAACATGAACTATATTCATCTCATATCAGGAAACTTGTTCAATTACTGCTTTGGAGAAGTTGTAGGACGATAAATGATATAATATCCTTTGACAGAAGAAAAAACTGTCGATATGAGTTTTCCTTGAAGATTGTGGCATGCGAACTTTCATTGACATTTTAAAGTTAAACTCTTGTAATTCTCTGGACATCTTACTATCCTGTTTAAATATTGTGCAGCTTCTAGCTAGAAGCTCAAAGTTCGAATTTAAATATCATCTGAATATTAAATGTTAATGTAACCACATTTAATATTCAGCAATGAGAGATCTAATTAAGTGATTTATTTAGACTCAGATTTCCAGTAGAAATATTTTGAAACTAGATTGATCTATTTTAATCTTTTGGTTCTGTCTTAATCAAATGCAGGCAAGGGATCTTTCAAATTGTGCAAGCTGCTTATCATCTTATACCATATTTCATCTTTAGTCCGCAAGAAGGTGAGTCTTTTCAAATGCTAGTGCCACTTTCTTGTTTTCTTAGTTGCATGAGTAATGAAACAACTTTTCTCAAGCATTATTTTTTCATCAGACATCAATGCCTTTGACATCTTTCTCAGCTTCAAATCTATTCTAGCAATTGCATAACTAGATGACATATTCTTCTTCTCTTTCTTGGCCCTTTCATACTGATCTTGTCGATCGTCGGGAAACCCTTATCTATAAAATTTACAGAAAACTAGCCAGCTAAATTGTGGTGGAAGAGTGTTTATTATTTCTTTAAGTAGAAAAAATATGTGAAAGGAAGTAAACAGCTAAATTTGGTATGATTTTCAATAAATGTAGGTTCGAGGAACACTTTTTTCAGCCACTGATCCTCAGATTCCAGAGTACTGTGACTTTTTGAGAGCGGATGATTGGCCTGTTTGCGCATTCATACTCAAGATTGCCGTCCAACAAATCCTTCCGAGGAAGCACACACACGTTGAAACTTCTTATAAAGTGTGGGAAAGACATTAGAGATGATTGGCCTGCCGTCCGATGCTGTTGAGAAGCTGATAGAAGGTGAAGAAGTCAAATGCAAGTATGGGACTCACAGGAAGCTGCTCTTCCCACTAAGGACCAACACAAAATGCTCATCCAAGTTTCAAATCAACCCGTTCCAGGTCTTCGTTCCAATGGGTACATTATTGGATTAATAGAGCAATCCATTCTTTATCATACAAACTTTTATCTTAACCAATGACTATGATGAGTCAAAGTTGGCATACGTTGCTCATGTGATAGATCTCTTAAAGAGTTGGGGAGTTATGTTATGACCATAGTGGCTAATGATACTCATACTTATAATAGTTTCAATATTTTGTGTGTTTAAATTTAGGAATGCAATGTTGGATTTGATGCATTGCTCTACTCATTTATGAATCAGTGTATCATGATAAGACTCGAACATTTGTTTTCTTTGACAAAGTTTAGCTTCTATTCTTGTAATGCTTTATTGACTTGCAGAGTCATTGCATAATGTTTTAGGTAACCCATTTTCCACTTAATGTGTATTTGAATATGTATTTTTTTAATGGTAAGCTGTGTAATTAATTATATAAAATATTATAGAATAAAATTGGTCAATTAGTCTTCGGGGCCGTTGATAATTGATGACTGGAAAATCTGTCTAGGGATGTCGGTTTTTTAGGCCCGCCTAGAATCGGGCCCAGACTTGGTGTATGCAGGGTGGGTATTACCTGGCTCGGTTATTAAAAAAGTGGTTTTATTTTAGTTCAATTCATTATCTTCTAGTCTTAATAATAATAAAAAATTATTTTAAAAACTATTTACAAATATATATTTAGAAAGAGATTGACTGATTGAGTGGGGCTTAATTTGTTTTTTTTGTTTTTCTTTAATTTAATTTTATTGAGACCAAGAGAAGATAGCAAGCTAAATTGTAAATTTGGGTTTTAATATGCGTCGATGTAGTTTTTCCAAACAATTTATTCCTATTTATCATTGATTTCACAACAAAAGGTATTTTTAATTTCAAATGTATTAATTACACTTTATAATTGTGTTCTTAGTTTCATTATTAGTATATTTGAAGTATCATAGAATTTTTGTATTATTTAAAAAAAAAGATTTTCAAATACACACAGGTCAAATTTATGGATAACAGAAATTAAAAAAGAAAAAAACGAAAGCAATGAAGTTTGAACATGAAAACACAGAGCAATAAAGCATAGAAACAGAGCTAATGAAAATACAAAGTTTACACATCTATAAAACAGAGCAAATTAAATCACACCAACTCAAAACAAGCAATCAAGAACAATGCAACATGTTTGATGAAGAGAGAATTGTAATCAATTCTCATCTCCTCCTTAGACTGAGAAATGAGTCTCTGATAGCTTCAGATTGTGTGACTACATCATTCATTTTCTCGCCTCTCTTGGAGATGTTGTGGAACACATGAGTCCAATCCTCAGCACTAGAACCAGGAATTCTTCCATTTTCTTTTTATTATTCCTTTGAGTTTCAAAGTTTCTCATCATGGTTTCTTCAACTCCATCATCTTCATTTTCTTCTTCAAAGAGTAGTGATGGGTCAACAATGTCCATAACATGGTTTGGAAAAGCCATTGAAACAAAGTTATGAATGTTCAAGTCATCTTTAAACATTTCATCTGTAGGTCTTTTACCTGTAAACATCTCCAACAACAATATACCATAACTGTATATGTCTCCGAGCCTGGAAACATGACCATCCATGTATTCTACAATGTATGAAATTAGAGTCAACACATGTCAATATATATAAAAGAAATTGATACTTAAAATTAAAATTTCAAGCAAAAAAAATTTACATTGTTTACTATTATATGAATAATATAAAAATGACAAAATAATTATATATTATCTTATGTGTTCAACATTTCAAGAGACTTGAACCTTTTTTTTTTTAACAAAAAATAGAATTAAATCTATAGAAATTTTACAAATTAAATAGTAGTTAAATATAAAAAAAAGAAATGAGTTTAAGTATTTATTACTAAAGAATCTAAATATAAAGAGCAAAAGAAAAAAAAAATGGTAATTGAATTAGCAAGTTATAGCATTTTCCAATATTGTAATATAAAGCTCTGTTTTGTGTACAAATTTCGTACTTCTTAATGGTCTGTATAATCTTGAATTATTGATGGAACAGAACATGAATATACAAATAAGCATAGTCAATAATTTAATCTAGTGGTGGAAGAGATATAACAGTAGTAAAATTAATAAATTTTTTAATTAAAATTGTAATATTGATTATACTTTATGTAATTTAATTATTTGATATTGTTATAAATGTTTTTGACATGTTTTCATATTTTGAAAGATTTAAATAATAATAAAGTTATTATGGCCAAAGAAATCAATTTTAGATGTTGCAATTATTCATGAAGAATAATTTATAATAATAATTAAAATGAGAAATTTTATAGAGTTCTTGGACTTTTAAAGGGAAAAATTTGAATCAATGATAAAGTATTGAGAAAATGAAATGACACTATTCATAAAAACTACTTATACTGTATTACACGTGTATTTTCAGAGTATAATAAAATAATAAATAGTGAGAAAAATGCGATAAATTTATGATAATAATTAGATTGAGAAATGTTGTATTTAATTAAGCGAAGGTTAAGACCCCAAGAATTTCTTAAAAATAAAATGATAATCAAGAACTAAAATTCAAATATACTTTTGAGAAAAAAAAAAAAAATTAATACCTGGAGGGATGTAGCCAAAAGAACCTCTTAGAGCAACTGATGTTATTTGACTTTGCAAGGCATTATTTGATGATTCAAAAAGGAACTTCGACAATCCAAAGTCGCCAACATGGGCTGTCATATCTTCATCAAGTAGCACGTTGCTTGGCTTGAGGTCACAATGCACAATTGGAGTCTCACAATGGTGATGGAGATAATCAAAAGCAAAGGCAACATCAATTGCCACATTTAGTCTCTGCATAAGGGTCAAGTTCTTGATTCCAACAGGTTGCTCGTTAGGAACCGGATGTAGCCAGTTGTCCAAACTTCCATTAGACATGAACTCAAAAACAAGACTTTTAAAGTCGTTACCTTCATAATCAACACTTGAGCAAACAGTTATGATCTTGAGGATGTTACGATGTCGTATGCTTTTCAAAGCATTGCATTCATCAATGAAACTTTTCAAGGCTCTTTGATGTTGAACTTTTAACACCTTAATTGCAACAATTTTTCCATCACCGGAAAGAGTACCTTTGTAGACAGAACCACAACTACCCACACCGAGCAAATTTTCATTGGAAAAGTTATCAGTTGATTTTAAAATGTCAGAGTAAGACAAACATAATTGGCTTTCGATCGAAGATGTAGTGGAACTTGTCCGTGAAGATTTCTTTTTGTAATATAAAACAAAAGAAATCACTAGCAGAGTTGCAACTGTAACACCAATAATTATTGAGATTACTACTCTTTTATTAATATGCTTTTTAGAAGCTTTTGTTGAGCATACATTTAAAAGTAGTTCTGGAACACCGCCACAAAGCTTTTCATTTCCAATAAGTGAAATATTGGCACTTGCATTTGCAAATATCCCTTCCTTGGGTACTTCACCTTCAAGCTTATTATACGAAAGATTGAGATACTTGAGAAACAAAAATTGGCCGAAAAATTCAGGAATTTGGCCAGATAAATTGTTCCAAGAAAGATCCAATTCCTCTAAACCTCTTAAACTTTTCAAAGATTCAGGAATAGTCCCTCCAAACATGTTACTTCCCAAGTACAGACGTTCCAAACTTGCACAACTACCAAGGCTACTAGGAATTTCACCTGATAATTTGTTCTTGGATACATCCAACTCTCCAAGATTTTTCAAGTTACCCACTTCAAGTGGTAGTGAAAAATTTTTTTATTCAAATTTTTAATGTTAGTACTTGGATTAGTACAAATGATCGGTATGCAAGCATTGCCTATAATTTTATATAAAATTTTTTATACAAATTTTGTATACATGATATTATATATTATATTATATGTAAACAGTAAACACTACACCGACAATATTATCTTTTGAACCCATAAAATCAGATTAAAATTGAAACAGTAAAATCAGATTAAAAAAAAGAAACCAAAAAAACAACTATCAAATAGACAAAACCCCCCAACAAAAATAGAAAAAGAAAAAGAAACCACATGAACAAAAACTTCGTTACTCGAATCAACTTTCAAAACCCAAGAATCAACCCACATGGCGAGATTCGAAAAGAGAAAGAAACTGAGGAACTCTGAGGGCTGACGTGGCGACCTGGCTTTAACGGAGTGTGAGGCAGCAGACGGTGGCTGCCCTTTAGAGTGCGTTTGTTACTGAGACCAGATTGTGATTGGTTAGTGAAGTCCCAACAGGAGGTGAGATGGAAACGGCGTCTTCTTCTCTTCTTCTTTGAACAAAAAGAAGAAGGAGGCGTTGGGGTGGATGGAATGGCTTAGAGGATGGTGTGCTACGTGATTCACGAGATGCTCTTTCAAAGAATCTTGGCCAGTCATTTGCAGAACCCTTGCCTTTGCCTCCTGTTAATGACTCACTTGCATTGTCACCGGTCCACCAGCGGTATTGGCCGAGAAATCGCCCGGTATAACCTTTGTTTTTATTCTTTTTTTTAGAGTTTCTTTTTTCTTTTTTTTTTTTTTTTTTGGGTAAATTTGGCTTATACTGTAAAACTTTTAAATTCTATAGGAGTGTAATTTTCCTACTTTTGTAATTGAGACGGTTTGTATTGAGTAAAATTCAGTGGAGGTCATGAAATTTATGACATTTTGTGTTAATTGAGGAGCTATTTGAGGATTTTTGGGTTAAAAAAGGTTACACTGGCCGAGAAATCGTCCGGTATAACCTTGTTTATTTTATTTACTCGTTTTGTTATAATTTATTTTTGGGTAAATTACGATTATCTTAAATATTTGAAGTTTTATGTTTGTACCCGTTCACAAATTTAAGGAGGTTTCTATTTTCTACCTTTTTGTAAGTGAGATGGTTTGTAGTTGAGTAATATTCAGAGTTTTATGATTTTTTTGAAGTTTTGTAAGAATTGAGGAGTATATGAGGATTTTCTGGTAAATTTTATTTAGATTCTTGTTTCCAGTAAATCATTTTGACATGTTTAGTTTGGATAATTGTGATTGGTGTTCAAGTTTTTTCGCCATTATTAGGATTTGAAAGAAGTTTCGGCTAATGTTGGAAATGAGATGGTTTTAAAATAGAGAAAACATTAAGGGAGATTAATGAATTTATGAAATTTTGTGAAAATGGAGGGAGTATTTGAGGATTTTGGAGGATGTTTCTGATGATATAATGATTTTACAATGATGTTTTCTGTTAGTATTTGCTAGACTGAGTAACTAATGGTTTGTTATCAGCAAACCTAGGGAAGTTTAAGAAGTTTTCTGAAAAGTGGGGGGTATTTGAAGATTTTAGGGTTTTTATGTTGATTTTAATGATTTAGAGAGGTATATGAAGTTTTACTCTTTTTGCTTAAATTAGTAATGGGCTTGTGTACTCTTAATCAACAGGCAATTGGCGGAATCAGGGGCTCATGTTGTTATGGCAGTGAGGAATGTGAGGCAGCTCAGGTTGATCCAGAAATGGCAGGAGGAATGGACTGGAAGAGGCCTCCCTCTCAATATTGAGGTATCTCCTAAATTATAACGATTGTGGCTTTATTTCTATGCCAAATTTGTTAATTTTTTTCTACAGTGCTTTAGTTGAAACATAGCACCCGAAGGCATTTCTATGTTTTTTCTTTTTGGTTCATTTTTTGACCATCCTAGAGATGCATTTTGGGAGTGCTTTTGTGGAAGTGGTCTAGAGTAAAAGTTGTTTTGATAAAAGCACCTAGAACCCCTTTTTGAAGAAATATTTATCAAAATATTCTTAAAAGCACTTGACACAGATTAAAAAATGCTTATTAGAAAAATCACATTTCAAGTATTTGTCCAGACGCCGTGCAGTTGATCCAAAAGACAGTTTTTTTTTGAGCAAACCATTACATATAGACACAAATTGCTTGTGACTTTTAAATGCACCCTTAAGGACAAAGATGGTTTGTAGATTTGTGTCCATAATGCTGGCTGTTGAATATATTCTTTTCTAGGTATTACATTGTTATTCATTTTAACATTTCATTTAAAGATAGTTGACATGATATGTCTCCTCAAGGTGATGGAGCTTGATCTACTCTCCTTGGACTCTGTTGTGAGATTTGCTGATGCATGGAATGCACGTTTAGACCTTTGCATGTTCTTATCAATAATCTGGATTTTTTCCATTGAGGTTTGTGTTTCTCAGTCATTCAATAGGGTAACTCTACTTCCTTCTTGATGTTTCCCATCTGATGCTATATGGGTTTTTATTATTTGTGTTATAGACTTTCTGGTTTGCTCTTCTATCATTATTATTCATAGTGTAGATAAGTTTGCTTTTGGCATGCTTTTTTTGGAGGTTACGCGGTATCTTTAATGTCAAAACATCTTAGGTTGTGCTTGTCTTATGAAAATGTATTATTTATCTAAAATATGTTATTTGACTCAAGAACTAAAAGTGTATGTGTGTTTCATTTATAAAATCTTTACTTTAGTAGTCAAACTATGATGTTGTGAATAAATGATACAATGATGTGATAGTTGCATTAGAAGATGGTTGAAAAATTAGCATAGATGAATTTGGAGTACATAAGCTTGATTGATATTATTGTTGTGTTAAAAGTCTTGGAGATGCATATCATGAACTTTTAAATTGGATTGATTAGTTTTTCCTTTCCTTTTAAAAATTAAATTGCTGACTACAATAGTTTTTTTCTTATCCTTTGTTTATTCATCAGAATGAAAGAGATTTTGGGGCATAGAAGGTCGGTTACATACTCTGCTTTGATATGGGCTTTTTATTCTTTTGGACTGCATCTTTGGCATTCCATATGTTTCTCTCTCGTATTTACACTTCAAAAGTTGTCTAGGTGTGTTTTGAATAACAATTTCATCTTTCTTCCTTTCTTGACGATATTATCAAATACTTCTAACTCAGTTTGATTGTCTACCAAATGCCTGGCCATCTATGTGTTGAGTCATTTAGTTCATGTTGATCTGAAATCAAAAGTTTGCTTTTGATTCCTAAAACATATTGAAGCTTCAATTTTCTTCTGTTATAATTACTGGACGAATAAATATTTTTCTGTTGAGTAATTTACATGTTATCTGTTGTTCTTCTTTATTCTTTTAATCATTTAGCTGTGATGCCATGAATGATCTACTTTTAGGGTTTTTATTGGAGAATTTCATGTAAATGAAATTGAGCACTTTAACTTGTTTTTATTTAATATTTAAAAATGAAAATAGAAGCTTCCCCACTTATAAAGAAGTTTTGGCCCAAAAATAATATCCTGATCTTAATAAAGTTTGACTATTTCTCTCTCACCCTTGCCTAGTTTGTTTCTTGTAGCCGGAATTTAACTTGATTATGATAATGACCATTATCTACTATTCCTTTTTACCTTATATCATCGGAATATTTTCCCCTCTCTTCAGTGCAGACTATTGTCTTTATTATTATTTTTCCAATTTCTTCATAATAGTGGTACTATCTTTTCCTCACAATCTCTGCTGTTGTAAAATGTTGTTGTTTTGCAAGCTTTCTAGGTATTACGAACAATTTTGGTGTTATCCTACTGGATGGATTTTTTTTTTGGGAAACCATATAAGCTATTGCAATAACAAGATGTTTTTAACTTCCAATGTGTTTTATACAACATTTAGTATCATTTACTGTTTGCTTTGACTTTGCTGTGTCCAGAACCACAAAAAGTTTCAAAAGATGGGCATGAAGAACACATGCAAGTGAATCATCTGGCTCCAGCGCTGCTTTCAGTTTTGCTTTTGCCATCCCTTATTAGAGGCTCTCCAAGTCGAATAGTTAATGTGAATTCTGTGTAAGTTACATAATTGACATTTTCTTCGTATTGTGTTTATTATTATTAACAAAAGAAAAGAAAAGAAAAAATGTTATATCCTATTTGTCCATTATATCTATCAAGCTTTAGTAATATTGGAATAACATTTAAATTAAAAAAAATATTGAGCTGGGGACATGACCATGAAATGATGATATCGGAGGGGCAGACTTAGACTTAGTATTTGATTTAGTTGCTGTATGAAAACTTGTAAATTGGGGGCAAGAAATTTTGGCATCCATTGAATGATTCAAAGAAGAATATTAAGGTTGTGCTTATCTCCTGATCGGTGGATTATTTTGCAAAAAAACGTCAGCATGTATCAACCATTTTTTCAAATAGTGCCCTTTGCTTGGCAACTAGGACTGAGCCTCAAATCTTATGTGGACAGGGCTCTTCTTCCCTTCTTTATTATCATTGGCAGAGTTATTGCCTCTGAGAGAAGTAGGAAAGTAAGTGGGATGGATTGGTAGTTATGGCCACTCTCTAGTTTTTTTTGTTTAGTGTATAGTGAGATGTCCTTTTTTTTGTTTCTGTTCTTATCTCCTCCCGCCCTCCACCACCCCAACCACCAAAAGAGAAAATGTGCCTTTTCTTTCTTCTATCTTTCTTTCTTTTTCTTTTCTTTTTATTTTTGGATACATCACATGGGGACATTGAAAAGAATTGTAAAGCTTTTGAGGTTTTAGAGAATCCTATTTTTTCTATGATGTCTGGTAGTCTAAGCAACCTTTTTATTTTTTTGTTTTTCGATTTATTGCACTGCTGTTCT